AAACTTTAAAATATCTAAAAATAAATAAATAAATTTTTTTTTTTTTTTGTGAGCTGTGGTTGTTTGTGAGGATTTTATTTTGTAAGGAAGAAAAAAAAAACAATGACAGGTATTTGTGTGTTTACGTACCATTCTGTTCAAAGCGTTTGAATTTTCTGCAGCAGATCAACAGTGTAACAGTAATGAAACTTTAAAATATCTAAAAATAAATAAATAAATTTTAAAAATCAAAAACCTAACACAGGACCTGAGTGGGAATCATTTTTGTTGGTGTTAAAATACTGTTTCGTAAAAACTAACTGTGTGATATTTGGTATTTTTCCACAGATTAAATAAAAACAAATAGTTTAAGAAGTCAAATGGTGTCTAAAGATTTGCTCTTTAACTGGTTCTTTGCTGAGTCGTCAGWTATGTGCTGAAACAACACTGGGTCATTTCTTTGTATGCCTGAACGATTCATAGGTCAGAGTTAAGTAGCGAACGAAAAATACATTCCTCTGAAACTGGTCAGGTACTGGACTACAAATAAAGTCCCAAAACTCTTTGAAGGAACTGACTCTCGCATTGTTTTGAGGAAGGACCAGCATCTGATTAGGATGCTTCCTGAACGCCATCCTTCTGGAGTCGTCCGTACAAATCACACAAGGAGGAAACCCTTGGGAAGACCCTGAACTCCGGGATTACATAATTCCCTCTTTCTTGGAAAACCTCAGGGGAGTATCGCTCCGGAGATTTGGTTTCCCTTTGGAATCTTTTACCTCCAAAATCCAAAATTAGAAAAGGGGATGAAGCGCCAAGACAATAGCTGCGTTTAAGGTTTGAAAAGGTCTAAATGTGTCTGATTTCCGTGTGTTGGTGGAAGACATTCATACTTGTGAGGCAGATTGGGTTGTCGTTCTTGAAGCCACACTCTGGGATGTCMGGAGGTGGGGAGCCCCCAGGCCACTGAAAGTTCAGACTTTTCTGCAGAACCAGCTGCCTTAGGCTGCCGTTATATACGCACACCACCTGAAACACACGGCAGCAAACATCTGGAGTTACATGCCTGTSCGGCTAAACTCCATTACTCTTGTTTCACACACACATCGGTCTGTTCAAGGTCCGTAATGTTCAACCAAACCGGAGACTGAGACACTAAATCACAAAGTCTTTTGGGAAGATTTTATATTTTCAGATAGAAAAACTCAATGATTGTGTATATTGCGTGTCTTTATGTTATGAAATATACTATAAATTTGTTGGTATATAATATAAAAGTTATATGTAAATATTAAATCCTGAATCTAAATGAGCAAATCTAAAAGTAAAAGATAAATTTTAAATCTTGTGGCTAAATGTTGAAGTTTAAATTTAAGTATTTCAGAATGCAACATTGGTGCTTGTCTATTGTTGTGACATCATATTCCTGAGACAAAAGCAAATGCTAACATTGCTAATGCTGCTAACACTGCTAATGCTGCTTAAGGGCTCGACACACGGGAGGCGACGTCGCTCGCTCTCCATTCATTTCCAATGGAGCCTGTGCGGTGAGGCGACAATCGCTTGCCCTCCTCCAGCTAAGCGACCGGCAAAAATAGCGCATGTGAAATTTCGCGCTCGTACACGTACACATGCGAACTTGCGACGTGACATAGGAAAGTTGAAAAATGTTCAACTTTTGTCGCTGTCGCTTAGCGTACAACCAATCAGCGAGGGTTTCATTGACTGACCAATGAGAGGAGAGTATGCTAAGCACTGCCGTTAGCTAACACTTTCACCAAGTGATTACTAAAAAGCTTTATGGGAATTTATTGGCACCAGGGTGAAGTTTGTGGTAAGTTTTTCCTCATAAAACTGTATCTTCATGTGTGTTTGTTTTTCAATATCATTAGCATCGCAAGATTTGTTTAGTTTACACGTCCGTAA